CCAGTACCCCACATTAATTGTAACATGAGCTGACCCAATCAATTACCATCCGCAGATTTTATTGTGTGACTTGTGAGTCCCCTTTGAGACTCAAGGAACCAAAACAATTTGTGACTTGTGACGTGAGAAGATGCAAGTCTTTTAATGGGCATATGACAGTGAGACCCTAACATCTTACACCTGGAGTATCTTGAGGTAACACAAACTTCAGTGTCCTCAAGAGCATCAATCAACTAGAACTTTAGGTGATGGGAGATCAGTGTTATGCTAGCAAGGACAATAAAACAAAAACTACTTATTCTAAAATTCAACCAACGGTCAATATATGAAATTTGTTAGTTTAAAAATGGAAAAAACATCAGCTAAAGCCTAATGCCAAAAAATAGTTCGGGTCAGCTATATGAACCTTTCTACCATTTTACATCATCAAATTTAGTATAGAGTTAAGAAAAAAGATAGCCTGTCTTAGAAGGCTATTCAGTTTCCAAGAGTTCAAAATTTAAACAGATAGATCCATTTTTCACTCACTTTTCTCCGACAGCAAATGCAACCAAACATGACATGTTCCTTGTGTAGAAGTAGCGCCCACCAGGCTTTAGATCCCATTCTTCATTCTCATTTAATAAACAAAAACCAGCTGCCAGTAGTTGTCTTTTTGCTTCAGCTGCAAAAGGAAAAATGTAAAAGTCTAACAAATAAGACTACATCTTCCCAAAAGTTTCTTTTCTTAAAAAAGGAAACTTCTCTATCAAGTTGTTTGAGATAAATGCTTTCTTTCGCCTACAATATAAAGAATTAGATGTCAGTAAATATTAGTTTCCATAGAAAAACCATGCCTCCCACAGCCTTCTGTGAGCGTCACACTCTCCCATTCACATAAGGTAGGTGAGGTCCTTCATGAGTTCGTCCAAAATAATATCTAGTTACTTTAAATCCCTTCATCTTAATACTGTATCCATGTCAGATTAGGATATGCCTATAACATAGAAACATGTACTTATTTATATGTTAAAAGTTAAATTCATGAACCCTTTACTGAGGATATGTGGAATCGAATTACTTATTCCCCCTTTAAACTAGTAATTTTATTATCTATGGTTTAAATACAAATTTAATACAGAAAGAAGTACATAATGCGTCATTCAGTATTTGTACTTGGGGAAATTGGATAATTTTCATTCATCAATCATGAAAAATATTATCCTGGCCAAGTAAAGAGGCCATAAAATCAGGCATAGCTTGAGACATAATGGTAGCCCCATTAATGAAAAATTCTTCCTAATTAAGGCATGGGCTACCTGATTGCACTGCATAAGAATAAAAAAACAGAAAAGAACAAAAATGTCATAGTAAATAAACTACGTCCTCCGACGACCTGCCAACTTCAGTTAATCGACATAGAGTAGACTGCAACCACCGAACGACCAACTATTTTTGGGCATGCCAAGTAAATAGCATTACTAAATTGCTGATAGAAACTTCTAGACCAAAATGAAATATTTTTAAACAGAGCGAGGGCACAACTGAAATTATGATTAGCTGGTTCCAACAATCAAAATTTCTTCACCACAAACTCAACAAAGAGGAATTCAACCCGACAATTTTTCCGAAAAGAAAAAGAAGATGAAGCAACCTAGGTTCGTTTACCGGTGGCATGAAACTGAGTCCAAGATTCATTTAGATAGTCCAGCAGATCCCCAACTATCGATTTAGCCGTTGATGCACAACTCTGTCAATCGTTATTCCCAGCAAACGAATAAGAATTGCACATATACAGACGATACGTACACTTAAACACAAACGTAAATATGACCAGAAGGTTAGAGAGAGAACCTCCGGATCGGGGTTCGAGGTAGAGCAGAGAAGAGGAGCTTTGGAGAATCTGCGACGACGCGAGGCATGGATCTTAGAGTTTAATGAGAAAGGAATCTTGGATAAGAATGCCGAGGGCTTGATAATGGAGGAAGAATGCATGAGTTGCAGACGAGTTATGGCCGCCATTTCTCTCCCTCTGCACCTGAATTCTTTATCGAACTCACCCTGCTCCTGCTCCTGGCTCTCAGATGATATTTTGTACGTTATGATGTGTAACAGGCTGAAATGTGATATCATATTGAACTTTTTTATTTTGAACAATAAGATTTTTATCATATTTATTTAAATAATTAATGATTATATTGAGTATCTCAGGTAGTTAATAATATTAAAATTCAGTGTTATTGAGATAATAAATCTAAATAAGAAAAATAATTAAATTAAAGAAATACGATTAGGTAAATTTATTATAAATTATATTCATTCACTAATTAGATAATGATATATGTAAATCATATTAATAATCTTTTTGTTATATAAATAATAAAGTTATTCGGTATTAATTTTTTTTAGAATTTTTACCGGGATACCTAGCATTTATACATATTTAGCATTTTATATGATGTTATTTCTTTTCCCATTCTCTACTGTATTTAATTGGTTTATATTATTACGTATGATGTTATTTTAATTTGGATACATTATATGGTATTTACTTGACAAAAGATCTATACACGCTTCAAGAACTCCCTAGTATTGGTGATTAAGAAGCTCATACAAATAAGTTAGTCTTTACAGAGTTTTTCTATTTATTTACTTTCCAATGAATTGAGCACATAAATGGAGAAAATTCAGAAACAAAAAATCCTGAAGCAACACAGGGAACTAAAGAATAACAAATTGCATTTATTTGCCGAATCATTCTCATTTTCTATGACAACTAACATTCGTCAACAAGTTTTAATCAAACAGAAAAAAGCCTATCACAGCAGAAGAAAAAAACTTCTTATGAAGCTAAACCATAAGAACCAGAAGAGAGTGCAGATTGCCCCATTCAGAAGATCACCAACAGCGAGAAAAGCATGTAAATCAAGAAACAAGCATACCCAACAAGCCCACGATGCTCGTCCCACCTGGCTACCTCAATCAACAGCCTGGTACAAACCCTCGTCGACCATATCACAAAAAGAGCAGCAAGCGCGAAAATGACCACACCACCTTGCGGCAAAAACAGCGAAATCGCGGACAAAATCACCATCGGAAGCATACAGTATCCAATCATGCTCAAGCACCTATACAAATCCAAGCTACCATTCCTCCCAGCTAACATATTAAATACCACATATAAGTAAATCGCCGCCACAGTGACCCAACCCAAGATGATCCCAAAATGGATCTTCCCAGCCAGCAACTGGAACAAGCCAAATGCGATCAAGAACAAAAATGGACCCGAAAGGTCGCCGTCCTCGTGGAGATCCGGGTTCACACGAAATGGGTTAAGGATAGAATATGTTTTGCTCCAAATCTGCTTAGTATTTATACCCAGTTCTTCAAGCAGCGGCGGCTCGTCGTCGAAAGTGGATGAGGCAATGGTTGTTGAGGATAAGGTAGGGAAAGGGGCGGCGGAAGTGGAAGAAGTGGCGGATCCCACATCGAAGGAGACAAAAGGGATGGTATTTGAAGATCGCGGCGGTTGGAAGGGAGCCGTGGGGCGGCGCTGCGTGGCAGAGGTAGGGCCTGGGTTTCCGCCGGATGGGAAGACAACGGGGGGGACATTAAATTCTTTTGCCATTTTTTACAGTGGCTTCTTCCTGGAGATCAACAAGTGAATATGAGATTCTTCAGTGGGATTATATGGACGCTATGAACTCCGCCCCGCAGAATTTACAACGGTTATTATCTTGCTGAGACGAAAGATTTGAATTTTTTTTCTGTGTTTTGTGCAGTTTGTAGTGTTTTCGCGGTGTGATCGCTCTAAATACTCACTAAATACCAACTCATGGTAATATTTTTATGTATAGAAACTTTGATACCACAAAAAAAAAAAAAAAACTTTCAGATAATAAATAAATTTATTTTCATAGTAAAGTAAAAAAAATATATATACAAATATTATATAATATAATAAAAAAAATGAAATGAAATATAATGAAAATAAAATAAATGGGTAAAATTTATCGATAATAAATAAAATAAAACGAGACACCATGAAAAATAAGATACAAGAAGATAATATAATTAAAAATATATAAATTATAATAACACAATAAAATAATATTAAATACTAAAAAAAACAGTATGTAAAAAAAAA